AGCAGCAGCAGCAGCAGCAGCAGCAGCAGCAGCTACCGAACACGAGCTGCATGTGGTCGACGTTGGGCCATGGTCTTGGGGAGACATGGACGAGACCAGATGTAGTAAATAGCGCCATAGCTCGTTCTCGACTACATGCTGTATCAGCGCCGCCGATCCTCTCGCATGTACTACACAGACGTGTTTTGGAGAACAGAACTGTATTATTATTCGTGTCGAGTTGCAATCATGAACATAATTGCGCCCGGTCGCCGGGATTTTTTTATTCTAACTTAATTACTATAATTGAGCCGGTGGCGCGGCGGAGGCGGTCGGAGAAGAAGGAGACAAGGGCGCCGCGGTAAGCTGCTGCTTGCGACCCATGTGCACAAGGAGCAAGGTGTCGAGCTTCAAGAAACATGCGCAGAACAACTGTCCGCAGCAAGGACATCTGTGTACTGCGGCTGTGTAGCAATCCCCTCCGCAAAGCTCGATCCTTCTCTCACACAGACACCCACCTGCCCCACGACTATCCCGGAAATGCCCGAGACCACCCCCGCCAGGAAGTCGATGGCGACGTCCTTCACGCCGCCGATGTCCACGCTCTCGTCTTCGCCAACGCCCTCGAGCTTCCCCACTCTGTGCTTCACCGTCTTGCGTCGAAGTTGCTCGTGGGCTTGAGAAAGCTCTATCTCCGAGGCGCTCGCCATTTTTCTAGCAGAGAGAAGGAAGAGTATTCCACAACAACAACAAAATGGCTATGTACCTCAGCTCTCAGTACACGTACAACAGGGAGGGATGGGAGAGAGAGAGAGAGATACCTTCTCTAGTAGAGTTTCAGTTGTCGAGATGGTGGTGTGTCGTCCAGGCGGGCGTGGCGCCGACCTCAGGCTGGAGAGGAAGGTTAAGGTTTCTTGGAAATGTTCAACGTGCGTTGCTTGATGACTAAATACCAAGGAGTACGCAGAGCAGAGTGGCAGGTGTGCAGGTGCAATTTGGGGGCACAGCGGCTGAAACTCTAGATGATTGGAGAGGGGGGTGGGTGACTCGAGCCCCCCCACCCATTCATAGAGAAGCTGGCGGGCCGACCAACCATCAACAGCATACGGAAAGAGAGATGAACTTGAAGGAGCACGTTCTGGAGGAGCTGGTGAGAAACGCTGCGTCTGCGGGGAGTTGTGTTATGTGGCTTGTGTGTGACGGGCGTTAACATACCAACGCGTTTGTGGGAGGAGGGAAAAACGAGACAACAATTCCCAAAAAATACACTCTTCGTCTCGCTTTCGATGTCGCTCCGATACCTACACTTGGTTGTACTTACTGCTGACAACGGCTTGCTTGCGCGAAGGTTTTTCGTCGCTTGCGTTGGTAGTGTGTGCGGTGTCTGCAGCCATATGGCCATCTGGGCCAGTCCCTTCTTGCTCCTGTCGACGTCTCCCCGCAGTGCCCGTGTGTTGGCTATCTATCTGATGAATGTGCACACAAAGAACTCTCGAGTGTTTTTGAACTTGAAATATGTGTTCAACCGTTATTTGGTTGGGCACAGCCATCAGCACAGCAGGTGGTGTGTCGATTCCGTACGTCGAACAACCCCGATCATCCCAGTCGAAACCATGATTGCCCGATTGCCAACAGGGGATGGACAACACCTCGGCAGGAAAACCGGCTTGCGAGCAGATAAATATGGCGACAGCGCACAATCGCACGACACTCAGTACTGCCGCACAATGCACCCATTCGTACGGCAATGGTGCATGGATTTTTATTTCTATATTGTACGGCAAGGCGTGCTTTTTTTTTTTTTTCTTCTTAATATGACACAACGAAACCATCTCTATCATAGAAAAGAGTCTGAGACAGATTAGCAATGGATTCATAGCGTCAGAAAGTACCTGTATGTCTATATGTGGTTTTTTGTTTTTTCCAGGAAGTCTCGCGCACATTGAGGTAACCAGCTGCCTGAAGGATGCGTACCAAGTGTACGTATTTAGTCTAGCCCTGCCCGTATCCCTGTTAAATTATTGCCCCTGTTGTTGAGCTGATCGATGTTTCTCCACGTTAATCATGTACCACGTGTGGCTTTTTCTCTTTTACTTTCGCGCAGGAGCTCCACGAGTACTATGTGCGGGACGCTCTGCAGTGCCTGCTGCACACGATACTCTTTGTTCGGGCACCTGGGTCTCTCCGCCCCAGGGAGGTGGGCGAGCGAGCGAGCGAGCGAAGCAATAAGCGGTCTTGATGTTTGTTAGATGTCGCTGTCGTTGTCGTTGTCGGTACGCCCCAAGAGTCGGTTTGAAAGCGCTCCTCTCCTTGCTCTCTCTCTTGCTTGCAAGCCAAGAAAAATTACCAAATGTTTGGTCGTCGTCACGGGCTACATACGAGAGGTAACGCCAAACCCAGGAGGCTTGAAGTGACTTGACATGTTTGTCGAATGGTAATTGTGGGTCTGTCCCCCCTCAGTTGTCGGGGCCTCTGCCTTTGCATCCGGTCTCCCGAGCTGCCCCACCTCTGCCCTCCCCCCCGCTCCCCAACTAAGGTATTTTGTGGTCCCGTGAATAACCAACCCCGCCCACCCCTGTTGAATCTGTGTGTGTCTGCATCTCTCGATCTCGCTCCTTCTGCGTCTGTTTTTTCTCTGTCTCTCTCTCTCCCTCTGTCTGCCTCTACCTATCTTGCTCGCTCTGTGCGTGTCTGTTTCTCTCTCTCCCTCTCTCTCTCCCTCTCCCTCTGCTGTCTTGGTTCTGTCATCACGCTTCTTCTCCGGTAGCAGTCACACTGCGAGAACTTCGGGCTGTCCTTCGCTAGGTGCGGGGCTCGCGACGTCGACGTAGCGGTAAGTAGCATGCAAGCACGCACCGCTGCCTGCCTGCCTGCCTGCCTGCCTGCTTGCCTGCGGTGGGCTTGACCCCACACTCGCGGTCTGTTGTCTGCGTTGTCCTCGTGTGTACTATCGTTCCCTCGGACGTACTGTGTGCTGGTGATTTGTGTGTGTGTGTGTGTTTGTTGCTTTGTAATCATGAACCGCGCTCTCCGGCTGACCAATGCAATATGTTGTAGGATCTTCTAGCGGATTGCTTGCGTGCACGTGTGTTACTGTTACATTAAGTAGTTAGAATCGACCCCTCCGACCGGTTGACCATTGTAGTTACGTCAGCAGTTTTATGTACTCCGTTTTTTCTTTTGCGAGCATCGACCGATGTGACCGGAAGACGAGACGGGACGGACCCCAAAATATTTTCTGGTCGGCGGGGTCCTCCCAGACAGGGACCCCGTTGGCGCGCGGGGGGGGGGGGGGGGGTTTTAAAAATTTTGTGTTTTTAAAAGGGGGCTTTGGATTTTTTTTGGTTCCCTTCCCCAGAAGCTCCCCAAAACCCCCCAATTGTTTTTTCTTCCGTTGGCCCCCGGGGGGACGGGCCCTAAAGGAATTTTGGGGTAATCCTTAGCCCGCAGGAGCCCACCCTTCCCAAGGGGGGAACCCCGTGGGCCTTCTTCCTCGCAAAAAGAATGAAAAGGAGA